CCACTTAGCCCTGGGATCATTACCAAACGTTTTGGCAACTCTGATTCAATTAGTTTTGCTGGAGTAGAAGTAGCTAAAGCATGCTACTGATCCTCATATTGCTACATGGAAAGTTATAGGCAGTTCACTTTGAAGTGACCCTGCTGCCCACATCTAATGTAGATACTTTGGTCCACCCTTCTGGAGTAATGTCTGGATAGAGGCCTCAGAAGCAGTACAAACCTCATGGGCAGAGCAAGGAAACCCTTCCCATTCAACGGGAAACCAGTGGGGTCGTGTTGCAGTAAAAGGATGTGTTATCTGTAGACGTACCCTTCGGAAAGGTCAACCTTGATGTAAGGCACTCACTTTGGTAGGGCAGTCTGAGATACTGCAGGCTTCATCTTCTCTTGTGACTACTTGGAGACATTACTTTGAACCTTATGTCACAGAAACAGCCTCTTTCTCTCACCCAAATCATGCTTCATAATTCTACTAGAGAGTCACACTATATTTTATCAATTATGATTTGCCAACGCCATTGCAATGCTAGTTTGATTTCATTTGATTGTTGTTAAGCACAAAGCTAGAACATGAGCTATCTGTACTCTGTCACCACGAATATCAAAACCTGATATTTAGCATTGTAAACCTGCTGACTTACTGCTGAGCCACTGGGAGCATGGGGTGTTAGATACTTGCCCTCAAGTCACAAAATGCTAAATAACTTGAGGTAACTTGTCCAGTATCTCTGTACAACCACAAGTCACTGTGACTGCATTGGCAGTATAGCTATTTGCCTGGAGAGGCTCAATGCTATCTTATGGATCATCATGTTCTCAGAATATGTCCACTGTTTAACCTGTTAGTGAGACAGCTCTCAGCCACTTGTGAGTGACATTGTTCAGAGCTGGCGTTTAACTATTCTGGCCAACAAATGCCTGGAAGTACAGGTGTCTAATTTGTCAGAATGTGCATCATCATTGTTATTCTTAGTTATCTCCTGTGTACTGAGGTTAAACCTCAGGAAGAGGGGGGCCAAAAGAATAGTATCAAAACTGCTGAATTTTAGAATTTTAAATTTATTAAGTATTTAGAAAGGATCAGCTACTGATAAAACTCAATTCAAGTCTATAATTGGACCAAAGTACAAAGTAAAACATGAAGTAGGAATGGGTGGATATCTTAGAGCGATCTCTCGACATTTCCTGGCTTTTCCCGATATCTTAGTTATAGTTTTTCTTCCATCTAGTCAGAATAGTAGCCTTTTCTTTGACTGAATTAATGGCTAAGACTTGCTTCACATATTCAGCATTACTGTTTTTCACTTTATCTCTATTCTTGCAGTATCGCTCTCCTTATCGAGACAAAGACTTTTCAAAGTTATCAATATAAGATTTTTTCATCTCCTCTTGTTTTGTACCTTGAAAGACATATTTTAAAAATCGCATTGTTTCAAGTCCAGATGTAGATGTCAACAGGTCACACTTAGTTTGAAAACAATGCAAAGGTAAATTATACAACTTATCATTCTTGTTTTCAGTCCAGAGCACTCGAGCAAAGCCATGTCAGACTTTGGCAGTGGTAGCATTCATCCTCACGTAGGAGACTTATGTCTTAGGCACCGATACTATAAGAGAATTGTTTTGTCCAACACAGAACCATCGAATCATATGTGTAGAACTGAAAACTTCGCTTTCAAGGGTTAGATCATAGTTAGAATTTAAATGTAGAGAATCAACGTAGTCCACATTTTTTTATCTAGCAGATACAGCTGCTGGCTGATCATGTAGCGCGTGTGCATAAGTAATCGTTCACCCGCACGTTTCATGAGAGTGGATTGTTACTTGGCAATTCCAAGAGCATGCTCCTAATCATAGAACAAGGCTACTAGTGTATTGTTAACTCTTTAGTAGTGTTGCAAAATTGTTATTGTTTGTTATTACCAAGGTTATAAGTAGCATAATTCAATCAAATACATTTAGATTTGCATAACGGGGAGGCAGGAGAAAGCTATGTCTTTCCAACAACGTTAGTCAGTTAGATTGACAAATTTATAGTTTTGTGAGATTTTCATTTTTACTCTGTCGACTTTCTCGAGTGCTTTGGTGGTTTGTTACTCCGCAGTTGGTTTGTTTACTACTCAACAGTGTGTGTAAAGTGCTTATAAAGTTTTATTTACATGCTGTTTGCAGTGTGATTGAGATTTTAATTTGTATTGCACATCTGCCCTATTCCTACTGTAAGTACTACCGTACTTATGATATGCACAGACATTTTGAAATGTTTCATATATTAACCAAGGGAGTAGGAAACATCAGTAGTTTGCATACCACTTTGTTTATTTTAACTTACATATTACAAATTTATTCTGCATAAATATCTAGGAAGCAATACTATATATGTATATACGAATTATTTGAAACTTCTATTAAATAGAGCAAGATTTGTAAATGACTGTTAACATAGCGTTCCCATGTTATTTGGTATATTTAAACTGAGTTAGTTTGAGAAGTTTAGTTTTAATTTTGTGTGTCCCCTGGTGACACAGCGGTAAGCCTGAGGGCTTATAACACTAAAAATTGGTTTTCGATTCCTACAGTGGGTACAACATATATAGTCCATTGTGTAACTTTGCCCTTAACAAGAAACAAAATCAATTTCATACATAAAGACAACATTTACGTGTCATGTATTCATACTTGAATTGTAGTATAAGGTAAATATTTCGTAAGACCAGGTAAAAATAATATAGGTTGCATCTATATATATATGTATAAGCGCGATTGTCTCTCTCTCTCTGTGAGTCTGTTCCTTATGCACGGCTACATCTTTAAAGCTATAAACTCCAAACTCGGGATACAGATACAACTTTGTGCGGGAAGTAACATGGGCTACGTGGCCGCGGCCTTAGAGGCCGCTAATTGAGGCTAAGGTGACCAGTATAGCAATTCTTGGTAAACAGGACGACCAATTGGTCTCAAATTGAAAAGTCCGGATTTTTTTGATAATGTGTGATCAAGAGGGCTATTATTTACGTTTCGTCTATGTGTGAGGACTTCTCCTAATCATGATATCCATAATCAATTACGTGTTAAAACGATTTAAAAACTTCGTGGAGCCTCTATTTGTTCTCTCTCCCCTCCCCCTTTCTTCTACACATACATGTCTACTCTCTAACTCCACTTAACTGAAAAAAGACTGGTGCTTTCTCTAGAACATACGCGCACACTTCCACAACTAAATAGGTTTTCTTCAACCATATCTTTTGCTTAGCTTGCGTGTACTCGCAAAAATAATCTATATGATGAGTTTAGGAAAACGTTTGGAATCGGGAAATTTTGACTTACGTTGTTTTGCAACGAGAAGAGAATAAATCAATTCTTCATTAAGTGGAACGATAATAAAGTCATAATACGTTACAAACGACACTTGACCACACAGCAGAAATCAGGACACCAAATAATATGGAATTTTGTTTTGGAAACTTGAAATGTTATGCAAAGCACACGCAAGAAGCAGGAGCAATGTACCCAGTTTTGTTTAGATTAAAATAGCATTAGCAAATTTTTATTTTTGGGACATTGTTATTTTCATTTATTTTGATCAAAATATTTAATTAATTGAAGAAATCATTTTGATTTTTTTTTTTGCAAAAAATACAATTAATATGTTTGATTTAATAAAAAAAAAATGCAGGATATTTAAAGTCATTTTAATCCGAGCAACGCCAGGTACTCTGCTAGTATACAATAAATTACCAAAACAGAACAAGGCAAGAGAATATCACATCTCACCATTACAGCTACCTCAATTTTAATATGGAGTGGAACCACCTTTTGGGATAATCTCATCCAAGACTTTTACCCCTCTCTTTGTAATAATGACTTTTTGTGGCAGTTAAATGACCTAATATGAAACTTACACGCAATTTATGTGACGACGACTGAAAAATGCTTTATATGGAACACTTTGTTCTTTATTACATAAGATGAGTAATTGAGCCACGAAACTTGTATCACTTACAACAATTCTCGATTTTTGTTTGTTATGGATTTCACGCAAAGCTACACGAGGGCTATCTGCACTAGCCGTTCCTAATTTTGCAGTGTAAGACTAGAGGGAAGTCAGCTAGTCATCACCACCCACCACCAACTCTTGGACTACTCTTTTACCAACGAATAGAGGGATTGACCGTCACATTATAACGCCCCCACGGCTGAAAGGGCGAGCATGTTTGGTGGGACGGGGATTCGAACCCGCGACCCTCAGATTGCGAGTCGAGAGCCCTAACCACCTGGCCATGCCGGGCCTTCTCAATTTTTTCAAATTCTTTAACCTAATAATTCACCTGATAAGTTAAACATTAATAATTTCTTTATCTGGAGATGGATTTAAGTTATGTTTTAACAAAATAATAGTTGCATGGTTAGCGGGAATGATATAAATGGATGCTGTTCCATAAATTTTCATATCATTCTTTCCTAAGATTTGTGTAAAAATTATACTTTTTGATGTAATACAACATTTAAAAATCTGTAAAGCTCATTTTAGTATACTTGACAGTCTCTACCAGAGAAAATAATTTCATGCGATTAAAAGTCTTCAAATTTTGATAGCTATCTTTTAATTTCCGAAAAATGAGAAATCTCTGTCTGTCCTCATCTCATAACATTCAAGACATTGAACATAGTTTAATTCGACCCTGTGTATTATGTGGAAAAGCGATTTAAATGCATTTGCTATTAAACTATGTATGATATATATTAATATATATCCCTATTTCAACAGTTTTCAATCTTAATTAATTTATATCCGATTGTATGTTCCACGTTAAGAAATCAAATAAAACAACTCACTCTTACTTCGTGACTGATAACTTTATTGAAAAAATTACAAATCTAAAAAATTATATAACAAAATCAATTTTTTAATAACCCACATTTAAAACATTGAAAGTTACATCGTTGTTGTCTGAGCTTTTATTATTAGGCTTCTAACTACGCATTATTTCCGTTATATTACGAAACCAAATGTTTCTGTTTTACTCGAAGCTTTTCCGTAAATATTAATTCTTGTTCAGTCATTTTAATGCACGAATCATTTTTCCGCACTTTCAATTTAGTTACTTTTGGATTAACGTATGTAAGTTTTTGAATATCTTTGGTATCAATAAGCAAGTTTTCACCCCGTACACAAAATTTAAACCAGAAGTCCTTTCTCATTCGGAGTTCTTTTACTTTGGTAGCAAGCTTTGCTTTTCCAAAGTTTTGGATTTTTTCAGCTAATCTATCTTTGAAGAAGTTGTAAAGCACTTGGTCAGCGTAGTTAACCTTTTGAAGATGTAAACGGAGACTTGGAGTTAGATGTTTTATAAATTTCTCGTCTCGAGCATTTAGTTTAAATGTAACGACGTCATCAATCTCCCAACATAAAAGGTTTTGTAGAAGAATCAGTGATTCGTCCATCTGTTCGGTGATCATTACCATATCAAATTCTTCGTTTAACTTTACAGCAAATTCTCGTAAAACGCTAAAGTTTTCAAAATCGTTCACTTCCAAACCTAAATCAAAAGACATCTGATTTCTGCCTATTTTGTTATTATATCGCATGTTTGAATTTTCCTCCGAGATATTAACACTAAACTGGGATAATGGCGTTTTATAAAAATCTTTCAGAGAGTAGTAAGAATACAGAGACTCAAATAATTCAACTGGATCTCTTAATATGGTAACAAAAACGGTGTTTTCTGGCATTAATCGTTTTAATTCGAGGTAGTTAAATCTTGTGTGGTGTGTAAAGATGTTATAATGACTTTTTCCAGTGGCAGGTTTTATTAAATTAGGAATCATAACATGATGGAATGGACGAGGATGACCAAAGTAATTTCCTTTTTTTGGCAGAGCAAACAATAAATCATGATGATCTCCAAAGCGCATGAAAATGTTTTGAATACTTGAACTTGCAGTTTTGTGAGTTTTCAGAAAGACAATGTTTGTTTTCTTTTCCATGCATTTTGATACCAATATTACAGAATGGATATTTTCCGGAAATCTGAAAACAGAATTTGTATTAAGGTATTAAAGAAAAGGGTTAAATTACTTTTTTTCAATGTAATTTGTGTATATAGTTGTTAATTTACATTGTATTATCTATAAAAGTGTAAATTTATTGTAAATATAATTTGTTCTTCTTCTTCTAACTTTAATGATTAGTTTTGCCATTATACTTTATGTTACCATATTAATGTGTAATCTTTTGACTAACCTACACACACACACCTGCCCACCAGTGGCAAGTCTGCGAATTTATAACTCTAGAAGCCAGTTTTCGAAACCCGTAATGGGCACAGCACAGACAGCCCACTGTGTAGCTTTGTGTTTAACTACAAACACAACCTTTTGATTAAAATTGAGTAAAAACTTTCTGACCAGTTGTCTACTAGAACGCTCTCCTTATGTAATTTCTACCAGAACCAGAGACTTGTAAGAACTTGTAAGAGACTAAGCCTTGTCCAGTAATTGATTTTCAACTTGAAATCCCAGTTCAGTCACATTGATGACGTTGTCAAGTGATTTTAAGCCAGCAATAGTCGACGCTAAAGACATGGAAATAGCTAACCCTCTTTTAAAACCACAGAAAAAACGTATTTTGAGAATCAAATATTTAAAAGATCCTGATTATAGACGCTTAAATGGAGATTTAAATAAAAGTTTAAAACTAAAGACAACTTCGGGCGGGAAACATAATCGCCTAAAAACAGGACAAGCTCGCTGTAAACACCGAAGTAAGTATGAAATAACTTTACGAGTGGTAACATCAGACCTATTAAAATATTTAATGGTATTAGAAATAGAAGCTGTATAACCTGATATAGTCAAAATTTTAACAATAAGTTTCTTTATCAAATATTAAGTTGCAGGTTGTTTAAGAGATCTCAAACTATACTTAAATGTATTGTTGTAAGCTGTATTTTTAATGCTGTTTGTTAGCAAGAGGGGTTTTGTTTGTTTATTGTTAAGCACAAAACTAAACAATGGGCTATCAATGCTGTATAGAAACCCGATTTTTAGCGTTATAAGTCCACATGATTACTATTCGTTACCTAGATGGAGGTGCGAGCTGTTGATGATAACTTTAAGATCAGAAAATTAAGATAGGCCTAGAATATCTGGAAAGTTCTAAAGATGTGACGTAAAATGTTAGTATATTCGAAAGTACATTATATAGCGATGTTCCGTGAAGCGTTAGTGATTTGAGTTGATGCTAGATAGAAAGTGAGTTGTTTCAGGAGTGATTTTCAAGAATGAATCTGCATTAGGCATCGTGCTACTTTGTACAAACAAGTGGATTTTTACGTTTAGAGTGGGTGAAAACTTAGACTTACAAGTTACAAGAGTGTTCGGGTTTGTAATAACGTTAAAAGAAGAAATAAAGTGTTTTCATTTAAGTAAACTGTACGTTGAATTGTTTTCACCTTAAAATTCAAAACACTATGCAAAGAAAGAAAACGTCACAACAATATATTCATTATTTTCCAATGTTTTAAGAAAGGAAGTCAAAAACGTTCCAATTCCTGATGCCCTCCGGTGAGATAGCGGTAATTCTTCGGATTTACAATGTTAACATAAGGAGTTCGAGTCCCCTTGGTGGACACAGCAGATAGCCCGGTGTGACTTTGCAATAAAAACACACACAATTACTGATTATAAGTACCTATATTTGAAAGTACCGACCTAATGGGACAACCATTTTCAGCGAGCCATATAAGATACTACAGTCAGAACCCTCTGTGCAAGTTTTGAGATTGAATCCCTGTCCGCTAAGCATTCGTTAACAAGACGCAATTTAACTAGTAGGATATTTTTTCAAAATGATACGATTGTACAAAGCCTAACTAAATAAATTTTTATCGAACTATTAAATTTGCCACTAGAAATATTTTAAATTTAATACTAGTATTTATGCTCAAATAGATGTGTGTTGCTACGGGATCAAAATTAGCACCTAGTCTAGTAAATTTGTTTTTATGTTATCATGAAAATGATGGTTAACTAGCTATCCTGAGTTTTAAGCCTGTCAGATATCATAGGTATGTTGATGATACATTCGTTATCTTTAAGGAAAAAGAATAAGTGAACTGTTTTTATGAATACAGTACACGTTAATTAACAGTTTCATAAACATAAGAATAATTTAATGTCTCATTCTTTGGAGCTTATCATATTGAGTTTGTTACTATTTTCATAAAGAAATGAAAAGTGTATAAAAAGATTCGTTAAAGAATGATTTTTATCATATACTTGATAATACATTAAAAAACGTGTAAATCCATAGCAAAGTGAGTTTTAATGTGCCCAAACTGTCATTTTGTGTCAGTCTTCCATTTATTGTAAAAGACAGTTATATAGTGAGAAACTAATATATTTTGAAATCAAACTATCTACGAATTTCAATGTCTATAGCCTTAAAAATCAGAACTTTTTCAGATAAAAGACAGAATCAACAACCGTCAACACTCCCACGTTGTTTATCGGTATGTTTTTTAACGATGTAGCCGAAATTATGTAGGACTAACATCGCGTATTTTAAAACAACACAAAAAGAGCCTACAAACAGTTGTATCACTAAAACAACTTTCAGAGCCAAATCATGTATTTCCTGCAGTGAACAAGATACCAGAATAAAAGAAACTCTGGTGCTCAAAAACTCATATCTCAAACTTATTAACTACAAGCAAAAATACCCGTCCCAAGTGGCGAGAAAAGTTTAAGTTAATTTATCAATTTAAATTATTTCATGGCATTTAAAAAGGTTAATTGTGTTGCACTCTTGGTTTCACTCAGAGCCAAAGCTCTAAGCTACTTATAACCGCCCACCGCGAAAAGTAATTGTTGAACATTTCAGTCATGCTAAAAGCTGTTCAACAATAACATACGTTAACATCGCTAAGAACTCATCTACACTTTTATTCTTTAAGTTACGTCACATTTTGAAATGTGAATGATAGTACGATTAATCTCTAATAATTTAATGTAGAATATCCTGCTTGCGAAATAAAATTTGGCATCAACATCGTCTGCCTGTTTTCCTGTCATTTCAAAAGTGAATGTTGAGCTTTGCCTGCGTGCACAGCTTTTCAAACGGGAGACAGATACCACGGTTCGTAATATATATATATATGACAGAAATTCTACCTAAAAGAGGGCCCAGATTTCTGCATGTTAAATGAAGTAAACTTAACCTCAGCTAAGAATTCATTATGTTTCTAAAGTTCATAATTAACTACCTCCAATTTATGTAAGAACTTAGTAACTAGAGATCTAAAAAAATGCCAAATTCAATCCAGTGACATTTTAAACGTGTGCACTATCTGGAAGGGAGGAGGCGAAGCACAATAGTCTGGAACTTTTTCAATGCATTTTCCCAAAAAACTAAATCAAAATAAACAACAATGCCATCCAGAAACGACTCATTCGTATTTTGATATGAATGGTTCACAGAAGGAGATCATATCCTGATCTTCAACCAAATGACCATCAACCCTGGCTTATAGTTTTCTGCAAAAGTCCTGACTAATCAACCAGTTCCACCTTCTTAACCCAGAATCCTTCTGAGTGGACTCTTTACCCACATCTCATTAATTGGTATTTGTATGTGTATTCTTTTGGGTATATAAAAGCTGGGAGACCAATTTGATAAAATTTGTCATTCTATTTTGCAAATCTGAAAACTGAAGAAGGAAGAACTTGTCACACTTGAACAGCATCCTTTTGTAAGTGCATTAACAAAAGAATCAATTGTAATGCTTGATTGCATCCCATGAAAATTCAAGGTAATAAAAAAAAATTAAACTTGAGGTAACAGAAGTGTAAGTTTGTTT